AAAAAAAAAAAAAAAAAAGAAGTGCAATTGCGGGTCAAAGGCAAGCGGCATTTGACATTTTCACACCAATTGCCACACTGGGCTCCTCAGCGGCGGTGCGGGTTTGTCCCGTCCAGCAGGGCGTGGGCCAGCATTTCCTCTGGTCCTCAGACCCAGACTGCACTTGCTACTGACTGGGGGCTGGGTTCTCAGGACAGTTATTATGAAGTAGGTGGAGCACTTTATCTCTTTTGCTTTGTTTTTGAGGAAGGTTCTCACTGTGAATTTCAGGTTGGCCTTGAACTCAAACTGACCTCAAACTCCCAGTGATCCTCCTGCCTCAGCCTCCTGAATGCTAGGCTTAGACCACACTCAGTTTATTTTTTTTTTTCAAGTTATAAAAGCTTTATTGAAAACCATCTTTACTAAAGTTTTAATACTTAAATATATGTGAAATGGTTCCTAAACTTTTTCTTATATTTAAAAGCCATTTGTGTTTCCTTTACAGTCCATTCATCTACTTTGTTGTTTTTTGTTTGTTTGTTTTGAGACAGGTTGTCACTCTGCAGTTCAGGTTGGCCTTGAGCTCACTTTGTAGCCCAGGCTGTTCTCAAACTCAGAACAATCCTCCTGCCTCAACTTCCCGAGTGCTTGGATTACAGGTGTGCGCCACCACGCCCAGCATTCACCTACTTTGTATCATGGCTTTTTACTAGAAAAGCCACAGATGTCTGGGGAAGGAAATAGAAGTATAAAGGTACATGTCCATAATCCCAGCACTCTGGGAAGCTGAGACAGGAGGATCTCAAGTTGAGTCCAGCTTGAATAACTTAGTGACTAAGGCCCTATCTCAAAATTTAAAAAAATAAAATAAAATAAAAGGGCTGGGGAAGTAGCTCAGTGTCCCTGGGTTAAAGCCCTGGGTTAAATCCCTAGTATCACACAAAATATATGGAAAAGTTAAAGGCACTTTCATCATATGCCTGCTCAGATGGGGAGGGTGAAGGCATCCTTCTCTCTCTCCCAGGAAGACAACAGGAATAAAGTCACTGTCATGAGGAAAAGCAAAGAAAGTAAGGGGGCTGAGCCCGCGCTGAGTATGGAGGGCTGATGGAGGCTGGAGCCAAGGGCAGCTGAGGACCCTGCTTTACCTCTGCCTTCCCAGAGGAAAGGGGTTGCTCATTCCTCCATCATTCATCTGATAAGAGACTGGCTCTGTGCTGGGCCCTGGGCTGATGCTAAGGATGCTGTGGGGAAAGGTGGTGAGGTTGTACTCAGCCCACTACAGGGGCTGAGAGGGAACTCAAGAAGGAAACTGAGCTGGGTATGGTGGTGCACGCCCGTAATCCCAGCACTTGGGAGGCTGATGCAGGAGGGTTGCTATGAGTTCAAGATCAGTGTGGGCTACATAGTGAATTCAGGGGCAGCCTGATTTACATAGTGAGACCCTGTCTAAAACAAAAAGCAGCCAGGCCATGGTGGCCTATGCCTCTAATCACCTGTAATCCCAGCACTCGGAAGGCTGAGGCAGGAGGATCGTTGTGAGTTCAAAACCAGCCTGGGCTACAAAGTGAGCTCAAGGCCAGCCTGAACGGCATAGTGGGACCTTGTCTCAAAAAAAAAAAAAAGACAAAAAAAGAAAAATTAAAATGCTGAAATCACAACACATCATTGAAATCTAGAAGACTATTAGTAACTATTTTGAAAACCTGTACTCCCATAAATTTGTGAATCCAGAAGAAATGGATAGATTCCTAGACTAAACCAAGAAGATATAAAAACTCTGAATAATCCAGCAACAGGTAATGAAATTGAGGTAATAATAAGAAAAAAATCTTCTACAAAAAGCCCACAACCTAATGGATTTGCATCTGAATTCTAAAAGAACTGCAAGGAAAATCTAATGGCAATATTCCTCAAACTCGTTAATGAAATTGAAACAGAAAGAAGACTACTACGCTCATTCTTGGAAGCTAGTATTACATTGATTCCAAAACCAGACAAGAGCCGGGTGTGGTGGCTCATGCCTGTCACCGCAGCACCCAAGGCTGAGGCTGAGGCTGAGGCAGCCTCCCAGAGTGCTGGGATTATGGACATGTACCTTTGTACTCCTACCTCCTTCCCCAAACATCTGTGGCTTTTCTAGTAAAAAGCCCTTATACAAAGTAGGTGAGGGGCTGGGGATTTAGCTCAGTGGCACAGCGCCTGCTTGGCAAGTGCAAGGTCGTGAATTCGACTCCGGATACTGGAAGAAAAACAAAACAAACAAACAAACAAACAAAAAA